AGGGCTTCTTGGTGTGTGTTCTCATGTGCACCAGCAATGGCTTTCTCACACTGTACGTTCATGGAGAGTCTCTCTCGAGCGTTTTCATGAATTCAGAAGGAATAGTGAACACTGAATGGTTTCCCACAGCCCTTATCTTATGAGGTGCATGTGTACCACTATGTTTTTCAAAGCCCATCAGAAAGCAGGAAGTGTCCCTGTTGTAGAAATTATTTAATCCTGACCCAGGGTTTCTACCCCATCTTTGACATACACAGCCTTTATATTTACAATAAGCCTTAAACAGTACAAGAACTGGGCGGATACTTACCCTGTATGCTATTAGAATCTACTTTCCTATTGATAACCCCAAATTATTACTTGCTATGTTTCATCTGGGCTGCTCTTAACTCCAGTCAGCCAGCCCTCAGGGGCATGTTTTTATGGCATCTTCTATACCACAGACAAAGCAATACAGGCACCAGGGTGTGTTAAAGGGCTAGTAAGAGGGTAAGAGCCCCAGAGAGGACTGCAGTGGAAGTGCTCAGTTACTCACATTCTTTGAGGTCTTTGCAACTATCTGATACTACCACAAGCAAAAGAATATTGGGACCACACAATCCTAGAGAAAACTGAAGAGAGGTTTGTATACCATGAAATGCCACAATATGGTAGAGTTGTATTGTCGGGAGAAACATGCTACAATAAGTCGGGAGAAACATGCTACAATAAGCCAGTAGAGCAGTCTATTGGGATTGCAATAATAGTGGTGATGATGATGATGATGATGATGATGATAATTCTATTGGAATTCTGTTCTATTGGAAACACCATGCTTCTTAGGCTAGCTTGTAGGATCCGTGTTTCAGTAACACAGAGCTGCCAGATTATTTTACTAATACATATGCCAGAAGGACTAGACCTTTTTGAGTGCTGCTATGTGACGGTGCCCACTTCCACGTCTAAGTCTTACGCAACTGTCACGTCTCCTCTGTAATTAAATTAGTTTGGAGTATGAGTTATTTGGTACCCAACCTCGATTAGAAAGAAGCAAGGTGGAAAAGTCTGAATGATCAGTCTGTCACCTCGCACGGTCTATCTCTGGCTGCTGGACATCAATGTCCATATTCACTTTTCTTATCATTATTAAGCTTTCAAGAAATATACAACTAATTTGCTGCCTCGTAATGTACAGGGCAACTGTATACATTTGTTTACTGAGGAGGATTTCCTTATTCGCTTGTCTTTGGAGGACCAACCATAAATGGTTTGTAAGGTGTCAGCAGCTGGGTTTACGAGGACAACTGAGAGTGGCCAACTCCAGCAGTGCGCAGAGAGCCCTGGTTGCCAATCACACAGAATCACATGGTCGGAATCTGAGCCTCTTTTGGAACCCAGAAGTGAGCTCAAAATATTCATAAAGGAATCATATATTATTTTGCTTTCCTTTCCCTTCCATGAAGAATTGTCACAGATTGGTAGTTTAATAAGAAAATGTATTGGCTCACAGCTCTGGAGCCCAGAAGTCTGAATGAGGTCTGGGAATGCTGGTCCCTTATGGAGGCCCAAAGGGTATACCAGTCTAGCCTGGCTGTTGGCTGTTTGTTGTAGATTTTGTTTTTGTTGGCTTTCTTGTCTTTAAATTTGGTTTTTGATTTGGGATTTGTAGTGTAATGCATTCCTCCAGGCTCTTCTGGCTTTCAAAATTTCCATTGAGAAATCCACTGTTATTCTCCTGGGGTGTTCCTTTACACATGACTGGCGTTTGATCTCCAGTTTTCAATATACTTTCATTGTTTCGTGTACTTACTGTTTTAACTATGACATGTCCCATGGAGTTTCTTTTCCTAGTCTTGTGTGTTTGATGTTCTACGTGCTTCTTGCATGTGTATATGTATGGGTGACTGTCCCGGCCCGAGGTGCTGCTCCGGCCCACGGGTCAGGGTCTAGCAAGAGAGAAAGAGAGAGGGGATAGAGGGGAGAGAGACGCGAAGAATAGAGACAAGTCAGAGGGTCTGATCAAGTCTTATTTATTGAAAGGAAATCCTGGGTATTTATACCCTTTACCACGTGCCTTGCTCTCGTGGACAAACACAGGTGAAGGCACTACGTCACGTGCCTTGCATTGTGGAGACCACGTGCGCCTTGCAGCTGGGGGCATTAAACAGCAAAACAAGATATGTGAGAAAAACAAGATGTTTATCAGAGTGTGCTCAGCTGTTGTGGGCTGTTGAAAACAAGTCTCTTGTCAGGGTATATGGCCTGAGATGGCTGCAAAGATGATAGCCGCTTTCGGCTAGAAATTGGCTCCCAATAGGTGCCAATTAGTTTGAGGAAATTTTCTTCTCTGATCTTGTTCAGAAGGTCTGGTCTACAACAACATTGACCTGGGACTCTTCCCCCTCATCTATGCCTGTAATTCAAAGGTTTGGTCTTTTTTTTTTTTCCCATATGCCCTCCATGTTCCTCTCTAGTTTTTATTGTCACATCACTGGTTTGTGTAGATCTTCTGCTTTACCTTTGAGTTCTGCTGTTCGATTTTCTTCCTGGCTCATTCTGCACACAAGGCCTTCCCTTCAGTTTTCTGGCTCAATTTTAGGTTTTTCAATTCCATCTTTGTTTGAGCTTGCATTCTGGTCAGCATTCCTGACTCTTTATTGAGTTCTGTTTTCAAATCATGGACTGTCTTGTCATTTCCACCCTCCTTACGTTTGTGTTCTCTTTGACTTCACTCAGATATTTGTCCTCTTTAATTCCCTCTAAGTGTGTTGAGTTGTTTCTTTGTGTCGTTTTCAAAAAAAAAAGAATTAAAAAGTGATTTATTTCATGTGCATTGATGTTTCGCCTGCATGTATGTCTGTGTGAAGATGTCACATCCCCTGGAGTTGCAGACAGTTATGAGCTGCAGATGGGTGCTGGGAATATGAACCGAGGTCCTCTTGAAGAGCAGTTGGTGCTCTTAACCACTGAGCCATCTCTCCAGCCTCTCTTTGTCTTTTTAAAATGCTCAAATTTTGAAGTTTATGGTTCTTTTAAATTCTACGTCTTGGCATTGATCTAGATACTGCCTTGCTTTTTCATATTTTTTGTGTTTTTTTGTTTTTTTTGTTTTTTTTGTTTTTTTTTTTTGTTTTTTGTTTGTTTGTTTTTTTGCAATGAAATGTGAGTATGTGGATTGTTTTTGTCAGTTCTTTTTCTGATATGGACAGAGCAGGTTGGGGCTGGACACTGGACATTTGGCTCAGATTGGGTCTAAACATTGGGAATGGCTTGGATGGAATAAGTCAGGTAGATACAAGGTGCTGGTCCGGCAAGCAGGATGTGCCTTGTGGTCCAGGCTGAAGTTTGGAGGTAGGGTCTAAACACTGGGGGAAGTGTGTGGAGAGGAGGGTGAGGCAAGACTCACTGGTCTAGTTGCGAAGGAGCTAACTGAGCAGAACACTTGTAATGTGGCACAGAGCGCCTGTAGGTTGGGGTAGGCAGAACGTATCTTGGATGGAACCTGGGCTCTGAGAGGTATGCAAGCAGGAGTGGCCCGGGCACAGGATGTGGAAGCTTGCCTCTATCTGGGTGACTGAGAAGGGTGTGTGGAGGAGAGAATTGGATGTACTCACTCAGATTTACCCTGGTGAAGACTGTGGAGGGTCTGGCCAGGTGTAGAGGTTTGTAGTTGTGACATTTCTAGTTTTAGCCTTTCTCTACCCTTAACTCACATGTTTGACCGTTATCTACAGTAAATGTAAGGGAGTTAGTCTGCTCACATTCTTCGTGCTGTGCTTATACTTGCTGATAGTGGTGCAGGCTCTCGTATGTCCACTATCGTAGAACTTAAACCGCTCCCACCACGTGCCTATGCTTCCCACAGCATTGCCATCTTTACTTTCTCACTTCTAGACCTTTTAGTACAATATAGTTATAGTTATTGGGAGAAATTTGTCCGCCTTTCTGACAGGTGCGTGAAGATTATTTTTCTTGGGGAATTTGTTCATAAATGGCTACCTTTTCTTTGGTAGTTGAATGACACTGTTACTAGCATAAATTTCTTGAGTATCCAATTTTATTCAATAAAACACAATGGAGTGTTTTAATTTAATATTGAAGGCCCGGGCCAGGCTGTGTTTCTCCTTTTTTGTTTATGTCTGCCACAGTTTGTTTTCTAGAGCCCTGATAAGCCCCATGATCCAAAGGAACTTGGGGAGGAAACGGTTTATTTCAACTTACAGTTCTGTGTCATAGTCCATCACGGGGGAAGCCTAGGCAGGAACTCACAGCAGGAATCCAGAGGCCAGAACTGAAGCAGAGGCTCTGGAGGAAAGCTGTTTGCCTACTGGCTTGTTCTTTCCGATCGTACAGCCTGCTTTTGACACCAATGAGCTCAACACCAATGTCCAGAAATGGTACTACTCACGGTGGGCTTGGCTCACTGATGTCAGGTGTTACTCAAGGAAATCTTGTGTCGTCCTTTTCTCACTGAGATTCTTTCCCCCAGATGACCCTAGCCTGTGTCAAGTTGACAATAACCTAACCACAATGGTATGTGACATGTTTCTACTCAAACTCCCACTGGATTCTTGATCTTAAGGTTCAACAGTGTCATTAGACCACAGCTTCATCACTAGGCACGTTCTAGTCCATTGCTTTAAGTCTTTCATTTCAGCCAGCCTCTCTGATTGCTTTATTTTTGCCTATGTGTTCCTGTGAAAAATCAATTTTGAGTATGCTGAGTGCCCCCTTTTGTCTTTCACGACCATTTTGTCTGTTTGTAAAGTTAATGTTTTCAGCGTTCTGTTTTAAATATGGAACACTTAATGGGTTAATATATCATGTTTGCATGGGGGCCATGCTAACTTCCTCTGGCCAATTTCAGTTTTAGTTCCTGGACTCCCCGTTGAGAGCATTAGAATTTTCAAAGTAGCACACAGCGATGAGCCACTCATGTTGGCTAAGTAAACCTTATGAAAGAAATTAAACATTTAGTCAAATTAAAGGGAAGATTACTAAATGTGTTTTTCTCTTTTCAGATTCTCAAAGTTCATTTCTAGAAATCATATTTCCAGAGAAAATTGAAGATAAAACAAACTCAGAAGTAAGAAACATTTTTTTCACAATCTACATTATTATATAAAATTTCTTACTCATATTGCATAGCTATAGAATACACAAATAATATTATAGTATCATATATATATTATTACTACTGATAATGAGTATAAAGTTTTTATGGTAAAAGTAAACATATAAATTAAGATGGTCTATTTAAAAAAAACATTTGTCAATTCTTCATAGTATTTTTAGCAGTTCGCATATACAAAATAATAGAGAAAATAATGTTAAATTTCTTTTTTGACATTAAGAAGATATCTAGAGATCCAGGAGGAGAATAATTTTCTTCAAAATGGCTGATTTTGTCAACACATTTTAACAACAATCTCTTTCCTTATGCTTCATCTCTGTACCCGTAGTTCTCAAACAAGAGAAGTTTTACATTCATATTTTAGAAAGCAAAATAATCAATTTTATTCAGTGATTTTTGGCGTTGGTAATTCACTATGTTAAATGTCTTTAAGAGTTTTTAAAATAAACATATAAATGTACCTGCCTTATAGGCAATAAATTTGTGTGTGTGTGTGTTTGTGTGTGTGTGTGTGCTCACGTGCATGCTCGCACTTGGAATCTAGAGATTGGTTTTCTGGCATTCTTCCTTGGAAGCTGTCTACCTTGCTTTGTGAGCCAGACTCCCCCACTGACCGGGAGCTGCCCAGTGAGCTCTAGAGAATCTATCTTCGTTTTTCTAGCACTGGGATTATAAGCATGTGCCCATCCCAACTGTCTTTTTAAAACGTGTGCTCTGGGATCGAACTCAAGGCCTCAGGCTTACCAGCTTAAGTGTTTTGCCAGCCGAGCCATCTCTCTAGCACATGGTCAGTCGTTTAAATACATTCCCACCAGCATATATTGATTGTACAAAATTATCCATTTCTTCCCCCGTCTCCTCCCCTCCCAGTATTTTACTTCTTCTTCCAAATAGCCCCCTGCCACTTTCACACGAAATATGTGATCTAGGTCCCACTCCCTCGTATGGAAGCAACACGTGTGATTGCACTGACATTTACTGAAGTGTAGTTGTCATGCTGCAGAATTCACGCACGGTGATGAACACTTTGATTATGACAATGCAGCTTGCAGACATGGCACATCCTACTTGTATAATTTTCCCCTTGTCCTCGATATTCCCCCTCGCCCCGCTGTGGCTTACCTCTCTTTTTATCCCCAGACTTCAGCGACGATTGATGATCATGCTTATTTTAATGAGATTTATCTGTTTGTAACAGCTCTCAGGCGATAGCTTTCTTAAAACAAACATGGAGTACCATATTTATTTACCCATTAATCGACTGATGGACAGTGGCTCATTTTCAGGTATTGGCTACTGTGAAAAACCGTTTATGAATACTGGTGCTTGCACACTCCTTTTCCTTCCTTTTGTTTACACTCTTAGCAGTGAGATAGGTAAGTTTATGCTCGATGCCTTTAGGAGCTATCAGATAGTTTTCCACAGCGTGTGTTACCATGTGAATTTACGTTTCACTCGAGTAGTATGTGAGCATTCCTGTCTTTCCACGTGATGAGACTTGTTGCCAGGGGGTGTGACGAGGAGCCGCTACTCTCCTCTAAAAGTCTGCTGTCTTCCAAGGGTCCATCTGCTGTTGCTGCCCCTTTCATTCAAATGTCGATTCAAACCATTCACCCAGTTTAAGTCTGGATTTCTCTACTTTTGAGTCCCAAGAGTTTACGGTATTTTCCTTTGCAGTTCCTGTCTTATGTACGTGTTGTGATATTCTTGCCCCAACTTATGGCTTACTTTTTAAATTTTTTTTCAAAGCAGTTGAAATACAAACATTTGCAATGTCGATGGCACAGTTTGTCACATTTCTCTTTATGGATCTTAGCCTGGCCAACCCTGGCATTCAGGTACTGAGGTGGGGACACAGCACCAGTCAGAAGAAGGCCTAAGACTAATGATAATCTCTGGCCTTGCAACTCTTTCTTACTGTTTGTTCCAGGGGCCAGAAGCTGATGGCCTCTGGCAATTTAACTCTCACTTGCTATTCTGTGGCTAAAACTTAAAAGCTGCTGGTTCCTGGCAATTAACTCTTGCTAATAGCATCAGGGGAAAAGAAGAAAAAACAAACTTAGTTACTTGAGTTCTTTTCTCTTTAACTTAGGCCTCTTTCTGGCCAGGTGAGAAGCTTTGAGGTCTTTAACTCTTGGTAAGCAAGAGAGAAAAGAAGAGAAAGATGGAAGGGAAGAAGGAAGAAAGGAAGGAAGGAAAGAAAGAAGGAAGGAAGAAAAGAAAAGGTCTTTCCTTTCTTGAAACACACACTGGATTAGAGAAAGGGCTAAAATGCCTCTTCATTGTTGTTCTTAGTATTTATTTATACTTAGGATAATTAATCACATGGGTTTCCAGGCATTTTTATATTCTGTGAGTTCACAGTAAGTGTAAGGCAATAGTTCATGTCATAGTTCAATAAGGAGTTACAGCAGAATTGCTTACATGACTTTCCACTAAGATTAGTACGTGACAAGTATCTGTTTCTAGCTCCTTAAGTTCATTACAAGTTTAAAGCAATAGTTTTTATTTCATAAGTTAGCATGGTTTTGCCTAGAGACAAATAATCTGCCTTGTGTCTCATTATTTTGAAGTCTTGTATAGATAGACTACTCCATAATTTATTTTTCTGTCCTTGCGCCTATAATAAGTTGCCCAGTTTATGACCTTTAGTTACCAGGTAGTGGCCTCTTTCTTAACCTAGATGGAAAGTTTTCCTTGATCGTAAACTTTTTCCAAGTCTGTTTTCTTTTCCTAGTGCAATAGCCCTTGACACATGAAGGTTTACAGAGTTTTCTATTTGGAGCTTTTATCTTATAGGGGGCTCGAGATTACTTGTATTAATTTAGGAATTCTATAAAATCATTATCAGGAATTATGAAATCATCAATTCATCCTCAAAGCATTATTATATGAAATTGCATCTTCATATTTATTCTGCAGGAAATCTGCCCAACAGGGTGGGCTGATGCCCAGAAGTCATTAGGCTATGTAGCAGTGGCAGGAGAAGCATATCAGCAGTGAGAAGCAACCCTGGGATGAAGTCTCTAAGGACCCTGTATCTCAGAGCTCACCCACTGCAGCAATGCCAAACAGTGGGCCCTCTCCAGAAATCTCACTTGTCTTAGACTTTCCTAGATGCTTCCAACAGATCTTGTCACTGGTCTTGCATCTAGGAACTTTGCTAGGAACTGAACTGTGTTCCCTCAAAACTTCACATGCTGAATCCCTAGGTCTTACTGTGACTATATCTGGAGACAGAGCCTTCGAGGATGTACTTGAAGCTGAATGGGTCATAAGATGGAGATCTTTAGTGTGCTTCTATCTCAGTGAGCTTTCTATTGCAGTGATGAACACTAAGACAGAAAGCTCCTCAGGGAGATGAGTTTATTACAACTTCCTGGTCCTAGTTCACCAAGTGCAGGGAAGCCAAGAATGAGGCTCAGAGCACGAGGCTGGAGGCAGAAAGTGAAGCAGACAGGAGGAGGAGTGCTGCCTTCTAGCTTGCCTCCTGCCCCACCTCCATCCCCACCCCCACCATGGTTTGACAGCTCGCCTTGTTTTGTTTTGTTTTGTTTGAGACATGGTTTCAAGTAGCTCTGGCTGGCCTGGACCAGGCTGGCCTCCCACCCGCAGCGATTGACCTGCCTGGGCCTCCTGAGTGCTGAGATTAAAGGCATCAGCCTGCTTTCTTATACAATCCAAGAACACCTGACCAGGGTTGGCACTGCCCACAGTAGCCGGGGCCCTCCCACATTAGTCATTAATCAGGAAAATGCCTCGCGGATTTGATTTGCCTACAGGTTAATCTGATGAATGTATTTTCTCCACTGAGGTTCCATGTTCCCAGAGGACTCTAGCTTGTGTCAAGTTGACAAAGCAAACAAGCACCTTCACCATCATAACATCTAAGAGGAAGAAGAGACTACACAGGAGAGTCATAGGGAACAGAAGGCGGACGAAGAGGACCTGGGAGTTGACAAAGCTGCCCTCCTACTGGGGTGCCCAGCCTCCAGAACTGGGAGGACAGCAATTTCTTTCATGGAAGTTGATTAGCAGTGGTTACCTGGTATATATATATGTGTGTGTGTGTGTGTGTGTGTGTGTGTGTGTGTGTGTGTATGTATATATATATTTTTACTGTTAATTGTAAATATTTTTACCATCTAATGTAACGTTTTAGGGCATATGAAATGTGGGGCTGTCATAGTCCATTGTTAACTTGACACTCTGAGACAACGGTTCTCAGCCTGTGGGTTGTGACCTCTTGGTGGGTTGGATGACCCTTTCACAGGGGTCACCTAAGACCATCGCAAAACGCAGATGCTTACAGTATGAGTCATCACAGTTAGGAAGTAGCAACCATAAAAAGTAATTTTATGGTCGGGAGTCACCACAGCATGGTCAGTTGTCCAGTGGGAGCTTGGACAATAAGTGTTGAGAGAAATACAGGGGACGGAGGCCTGGCTTGTGAAGTCCCTGAGGAATGTTTGAGTCACTTATAGACCCTTTTGAGGGCTGATAGATATTGTGAGTTGAGACTCTGGCTCTGGTTAGCTGGGACTGAAGAATCCGCTGCGGTTGACAAGAGACCAGAGTCAGTAAAATGAAAACCTTTGCTTTACTGGGACAATAATAAATTTATCAGGGGGAGCTAAGGAATTACGGGGGATTAAGAAGAGACCAGCATCACTGAGGTGAAATCTTCTGGGCAGTGTTTCTTCAGGGTCAGCACACAGAAGCTGTGATCTGGAAGCGGCCAAGGCTGTACCTTGTTCTGGCAGCCAGATTTTGTAGTGTGAGTCACCCCTATGTTACTGATTTTGAAGGCATGAAGGGCTGGTGGAGAGCAGCTGGGGCCTGGCACTGGTGTGGCCGGGCTGGAGTCCCTGAAGAGAGCCCGGGAGTGGCTACTGTTGAAAGTATAGCCCAGTCGCATGTGAGCCCAGTGTTCTGGAGATCCGAGTAGCATAGGATGACCACCCAGAACAGCAGCAGAGGTGGAATGGAGCCTGCCAGAGTTTAGAAGACAAGCTGTGTGTGCTGCAGAGGGTGGAGCTGGAGAACCGACCCAAGGTACTTGGAGGAGTCCAGAAGACAGTGAGTGAGTCCCTGGTATTGAATGTTGAGTTATTTATACTGTTAGAGTCTGGTTTTGCTTTGAACTGATTGTGACTGTGCCCTGGTTCTTTCCTCTTGAAGTAAGAAAATATTTAATACATTTTTTTTTATTTCATTGGGGCATACTGTCGAGATACCTTGAATTTTTAAAAGAAAAGAGACTTGGGATTTTTTTTTTTCCAGAGAATGAACTTTTGATGTGTTTGTATTGGTAAAGACTGTGGAACTTTAAGGTTTTTAATCTGTTTTACATTTGTGACATTTGTTAATCTGAGATCTTTGGGATGGGCAACAACCAAAAGGAAAGGCTGTGTCTTAAAAAGTGTTGTGTGTCAAGGTAGCAAGGAGTTAACAGTGCTGGCTAATTTTCCATCAGCTTGATACAGGCTAGAGTCACGTGGGAAGAGGAAACCCCAATTGATGGAACACTTCCACAAGATCAAGCTGTAGGCAAGCCTGCAGAACATTTTTTAATTAGTGATTAATGTGAGTGGGACCATCCCTGGGCTGGTGGTCCTGTGTTCTGTAACAAAGCAGGCTGAGCAGGCCATGAGGAGCAAGCCAGTAAGCAGCACCCTCCATGGCCCCTGCATCAGCTCCTGTCTACAGGTTCCCATCATGTTTGAGTTCCTGTCCTGACTTCATTCAGTGATAGACCATGCTGTGGACTTATGAGCCAAATCAACCCTTTCCTTCCCAACTTGTTTTTGGTCATGGTGTTGCATGGTAGCAATAGTAAGCCTAACTAAAACTGCATGTGTCTGTTTGTGGGCATATGCACATAAAGCCAGAGGTGTTGGATCTCTGTGGAGCTGGAGTTACAGGCAACTCTGGCCACTTGACACTTGCTGGAAACAGAACTCAGTTCTTCTGAAAGAGCAGAACATGCTTCAACCTTGAGCTGTAATCACAGAACCCAGCTATGTAACTTTTGCCTTTGATTCTACTTACATGTATACTACATTGATTGACTTCCGTCTTTGACATCCACCTGTCCATTCCCAGAGGGAGACTTAGCTGATCATGGTGTATGATGTTTGGAATGTGACGCTGGAATCGGTCTACAAGTATGCTCCTCTGAGGATCTTTGCATCCGTGGTCATCAACTGAATCAGTGTTTGGTTTTCTCTTCCGTTGTGTTCCTATCTGGTTCTGTTGTCTGGGTACTGCTGACTGTGAGTGAGTTTCAAAGCATTCCCCCTTCTCTGTCTTATTGACTTGTCTGAGGAGGGTGCTTGTTCCTTTTCAAGGGTCTGGTGGAATGTCTGCTTTTAGTCTCTTGTTGATAGATACTTTATTTTATCTTCAGTCTATAAATGTATCTATTTGTGGGAACTGATTGAAATATACTAAATATTTCCTAGTGATCTTTTGGATTTTGGTAGTATCTGTTGTAATATCCCCATTTTACTTTCTAATTTTATTATTTTGTATTTTCCTCTTATTTTACTAAGAGTTTATCAATCTTTATTTCCTCAAAGAATCTACTTTGTTTTAATAATCAAATGATTAAAGAGTTTTTTATTTTTCATTTTTTTTAAATAGCTCTGGTTTTGTTTCTTGCTTCTACTAATCTTGGGTTTGATTGTACATTTTAAAAAATTAGACTTTCATGTAAACCATTAGGTTCTTATTTGAAGTCTTTCTGATTTTTTTAAATCACCATTTTTTTCAAATATTTTTATTTACGTCTATATATGTGTGAGTGTATGTGCACCGTGCACATGCAGGTGTCCACAGAGGTCAGATGAGGGTGTCACATCCTTTGGGGCTGAAGTTCCAGGCAGCTATGAGGCATCCAATGTGGGTTCTGGGAACTGAACTCAAGTTCTCTGGAAGAGAAGCAAGTCTTCTTAACCTCTGAGCCATCTATCCAGATGGCTTTGTTGTTGTTTGTCTGTTTCATTTTGTTTTTGTTAGAACTGCTGGGCCGCTTTGAATGAAATGGTCCCCATAGACTCGTATACTTCAGATACTCAGTCTCTAATTGGTGGAACAGTTTGGGGAAGATAGGATGTAGGCTTATTGGAGATGTTGTCACTGGGGGATGGGGTGGGTGTGGACTTTGAGGTTTCAAAAGCCCTATACTATAGCTACATTGTAGCACTATACCAGTTAGTTCTTTGCCTCCTGGTTGTCCTCAGGATATGAGCTCTCAGAACTATGCTACTGCTGCAGAGCTATGCCTGCCTTCCTGGTGCCATGATAGTCATTGGCTCGCCCTCTGAAACTGTAAACCCCAATACACTCTAGCTGCTTTGGTCATGGTGTCTGCCCAGCAATAGAAGAGTAACTATGACAGCCATCATTGCTGTACGTCACAGATTTTACAGACTGTATTTCCATTCTAGGATTTTGAAATCCCTTTCTTAACTGCTCCAAGAACCCACGGGTTAGTTCAAACTCTTATCCTTTCATCTCCATTTGTTTCTATAGTTCCTGAGTTTTCTCCTGATGCTGACGTCTGCTTCATTCCATTATGGTCCGCTGAGTTTTAGGAAAGTCTTTCAATTGCGTCTTGTATTTACTTTTAGATGTGTTTGTCTTATGTGTAAGGGTGTTTGCCTGCATGTATAACTGCGTTCCAGATGCATGCCCGGTGCCATGAGGTCATAGGGCATCAGATTCCCCGGAACCGGACTTATTGATGTTTGTGAGAGCCACGATGTGGCAGGGAATCAAACCTGAGTCCTCTTCAAGAACAAGTGCTCTTAACCGCTGAGCCATAGCTCCAGCTCCTTAGTTTGAATTTCTAGACTTGCTTTATTGTCTAGAATGCAATTCATTTTGAAGAACATCTATTTAATATAAGTACTGAATAAGTCAAAGGCACTGGGGCCATTGGGTTCTCTCTGGTGTCGGGTTGTGCGGTCAGGTCTGGTCCTGAGTTCCAGGATGAAGCCCAGGGATTTCACCAGGCCTGCAGGCAGTCTTGTTTTCCTCCATGCTTTTGGTTCTTCTTCACACATGATGAAAGCTCTCCTCGGCTCCTGGCTAAGATCCGTCTCAGAAACTCAGTCTGAAGATGGTAACCTGGAATCGGGCACCACTGGGTTCACAGTTCTGAGTTCGCAGCCCTGGGCCTGGTATTCTACTTGAGTATGAAGGTCTGGACTTATCTTCTTCCTTCTGTGAACCAGGGAGCCTCTCCACACCACACTACCTGGACTTGTGTAAGGTGTGCTGTGAAGTAGGTACCTCTTCCTTCCTGCCTTCTTTGCCACATCTTTTCATATTATAATGATAAAACCAGGTACTGAGCCCCACCCCTGCTTTGTTTTCCTAGGCCTTCCCGAGGCAGAAATTTCTGTTGGGAGATGGTCTCTGGAAGGTCTTGTTCCGTGGCCGTCAACTTGCTCTCTACCTGGGAGCGGAACATCTTAGTCACTGAAAGTAGGGATTCGGCTGCTGCATAAATTTAACATTCTTGTCCAACAAACTGCCTGTGGGTGGCCTCCATGGATGAAGTATGCTTGCTTCTAAAGCATCGTGCCGTCTACATTTATTCTGCAAGTGAAGGGAATGTATGCTTGGTGCACCATCACAGTGTAGGCGAACAGTTGTTACCGGCAACTAAGATGCCCACGACGGAGTGCTTCCGGCTTCCACGATGCTACGGAGGGACTTCAGACAGCACGGGCTCTTCTTTCCTAGGAGGTTAAGATTCAGTGACGTGGAGATTTCTAATGCAGTACGAATCAAGAGTGGCTTGTCTGTGTGGCAATGAATGGGTTACGTGAAAAGTTAAGCATTTTCAATATATTAATGCAGATTTTTAACATAGGCGGTGCACCGTGATTTTCCGAATTGTTTGAAACATGCTTGGTGAGGTTGGTTGATTCTTGAGTTGCTGTTTGCTTCTTCTCAAAATCTGTTCTCACTCTGTTTTTCTTGACTCTTTAGGAACAGGTATCCTATGTTATTCCAATAAACAAGAAGCAGTACACTGTGCACCTCCAGAAAAGGTGACTTCTTTTCTTACTCTTTAGCTTGGCATTTCATTTTATTTCTTTGAAACTCTTTCCTTGTAAACAGCAGCAGAGTAACAGAAACAACTATACATGTCTCATTAGAACTGCTGTCTCTATTGTTTTTACCACGACTGAAATGAACAAAATATGACTAATAGAGGTAGGAATGCATTTTCAATGTGAGAAGCAAAAGCAACATAATTGGATGCTGTGAAAACACATAAGGATGATGGGTGACACTGGGATGCAGGAGGTGAATATGCACAGACAGGAAGGAGAGCAGGAGGAAGGGTGAGCTGCTCCGGGATGTCAGGAGAAACGCTGTCCAAGAGTCATCAGTCACTGCTAGCTTTAAGCTCAGCTGACACTCAGACCTCACCACTAGGGCGCGTGGGAGGGCACCATTGCTAGCTTTTGTGTGACCAGGCTCAGTGGAGAACCAAAAGCAGCAGACTGTGTGGTCGCTGAAGCAGGAGGGAGTGTGAAGGGAGGAAGTAAAATGGAAGCATCAGAGTATTGCAGAACATGGAACCCCAAGAAGGCCAGGCTTAGACTTGAGTTTCAGCACAGATACTAAGGATAATAGTACTTAATTTTCTTCAAACACATTATCAAAATCATACATATTTATACAATGTATAATATATACATATTATATACACATGCATATTATATATTATGTACAGTGTATAACACATACATATTATATATTACTCATTTTATTTTATATATTTTAGCTATATGCAATATATTTAGTTATAATAATAAAAATGTATAATATATATCAATGTATATTCATATATTTTATATATTACATATTATATAATCATAAATAAATAAAAATATATTTATTAAATATACAATAGTCATAAATAAAAAATAAAAACATTTAATATTATATATAACATATATATCATGTTGTATATTACATAATATATAACTAAATATTATATAATAGATATAAGTATATGTAATATATAGTAATAGATATTTATATCATATATATTAGAATAAAGGAGAAGAAAATTTTTACAATCCTCCATCCAGTTTATATCTCTGTAAGTAGAAAAATGGCTTCACCCCTCTCACAGCCTCTTCCCTTTATGAAAAGGAGCTAGTGGGCTGGAGAGATGGCTCAGTGGTTAGGAGTGCTTACTGCCATTGCAAAGGACTTGGCCTTTGTTCTCTGTGCTTAAAAATGGCCCATAACCGCCTGTAACCCTAGCTCTAGGAGATAGGATACTGTCTGGCTTCTATGGGTACCTACACACACTGGTGCACAAGTCCATGCAGACACATACGTACACATAAAAAAGAACTCTTTTTGAAAAAAAAAAGCAATCAAGTTGGGGAAATTATTTGGAGCAAATATGTATTACTTTGCATATAGTGTCAAAGAAAATGCTACCATTATGTCAAAAGTTGCCTTTTCCTCTGGAGCTCTGGAGTTTTTAAGGCCCTCTATTTTCTGCCCAAACTACTTACTACCTCCAGCAGCCATAGCTGGAATGTCCCCAGAGCACGTTCAGGTTAATGGGTATGGCTAATATTCCAGTAAAGTTTTATTTACAGAAATGTGAGGGGGCAGAGTTTACTGATGGTTGCTCTGTTTCTCAAAGAGTAACTCAGAATTCTCTCTTTTTCTGTGCTTAGATATTTTTTAACTAACCGTTTTATGGTTTATATGTATAATCAAGGATCTACGAGCTTTCATTCTTCAAACATTCCGGTAAGATTTAAGTTATTTTATGAATTTTCAAAAAAAGAAACTTTAAAATAACTGAGTGGTTGGTTTTCCAACACACCAGGCTCTCAGGACCCATAGAGGATATACTTCAGGTACTTACTGCTTGGTCATGAAGCGCCTCCTATGTCTTGGCAGAGTTATATTAGTTGACTGAGGGCCTTCCATGGGTACTTCCTGTAGACTGTCGCTCCACCTGTCCTTCCGAGACCATATATATAAATGAAAATGAAATGTGCAGACTAAGGACCTGAGAGCACAGAAGCACAGATCAAAACCTCTCGCACCTGCTGCCCACTGCACACATACACACATCGGTCCTCCTATGCTCTGTGTGTGTTCTCTGTCCCTCGGCCAACCTTGCTGTTCAGACCTGAGAAGTCCGAAGGCTTGATTTATTATCGAGTCACGTGATGCACTGAAACATTTTAATATGGATGTGTGTCTTCTGTGTATTTACTATTGCTTCCCTTTGGGCTTTCTTCTTCTGGAAGTGTATTGTCTAGTGAATGCGTATGGAGCACCGTTCCTTCCTGTCCTCTTCATGCCTCCTCTATGCTTCTGTCCTTGCAGGTGACACGCTTTGTGTTAGCGTGGCTCCCCAAGTCCCCCTTTCCTGCCCCACCTGGTCCTTTAAACTTCCAGAGTCTTACAATATAACCTACCTGTCTAGGTGTTACATCACAGTGTTCTCAAGGTTCCCAGGGCTTTCAGGTCACGTCTTAAATCCATACATTGGGGGAAAAATCTGGAGACTTTCTGAGTATCACTTCACACGTGTCATTGTGGATCATGCATGTGCGCACAGTATCCAGCCAGTTGTGTCTAGTTTCAAAGGAGGAAACTATTGGAAAAGTCTCATTGCATCCTCAGTAACCAGTTCACTCTTTCTCCTCTCCCCAGGCTCAGTGCTTTTATCAAGGACACGTCAAAGGCTATCCGAACTCTGTGGTCACCCTCAGCACGTGCTCTGGACTGAGGTCATTCACCTTCTCCCACTCGGGCTGTGACGTTTGGCCATGGCGATGTATTCCACTTCTGTTCATGAGCAGCTGAGACAGAGGCTGCTCAGTGATCAGGGTCCCAGTGGTCCGGGATCTCTCTCCCCCTCACTGTTCAGGCTGGAGATGATTTTTTTTTTTAACGTCTCGAGGGTTTAGATGTCCTAACATCCTTGTTGTTCTCCTAACAACAGAAATGTCAATGGAATGTTCTAGGTCGCAGGAGCAAGGTTCAAGATGGATTATTATCTTTTTCAGCAAATAGAAATTTTACAACACCTACCATGTATCTTACAGTTTGGAAACAAAAAGTAAAATAAACATAAATGAGTCTTGCTTTCCCTTGTGAAAATTATCTTTACAGCAAGGAGGGAAGTCACATCATTGTAATTATTAGTTAGATATACTCTTCTTTTTTAAAAAAAAAAATAACAAAGTGATTACTTTAAATCTTGAATTATTTGGTTTCTTCTTTTCTGCTTTGGAGAGGTTTCAATCTTGTCAGAATTCTCCACCTCTGTTTTTAGTGTATATTTTTGTTATTCCAAATGTATTGTGAGATTCCTGTATGGAATCTTGAATTTCAAACCTGAAACCAGTTTCTCAGATAGCAGGAGCATACAGGGCTACCTCAGTCCAGGGAAGCAAAGGTCTGTAAGCCGATCAGCTCTTCAGAATCGGGTTTTTGTTTTCTTATTCAAACTGTGCGCCCAACAAATAAGTATCATTTTGCAAACACTGCCGCATTTTATTTTCATTAGTAAAACTATTGATGTACATTTTTTTAAATAATAAAAGCTTTGTGATCTGTTTTTCAAGTTCTGCAAACCTGAGAGAAATTTATTAACATTTCAGGTTATGGTACTGTTACATAGTCCCTGATTGAAGCACAGGAAAGCTATTGACTGCTGTTATACTGTACCCCTAAAAACTTTAGAACTGGTTTTCTTAGTCATATAACAAAAAAAGAAAAGAAAAGAAATAGAAAATTGGATTCTTGTGTAAGAGAAATTGTTTTTCTCTCCAAAGTCATCTCTAAGATTCTGGAACAAAGCACTGGGCTGAAAACACTGCTCACCTCTTATCATTTTAATGAATGTTTCCAGAATGTCATAATAAAAAGCACTTAATGGTTTTATTCTTAATGTTGCAGAGGACTCCTGCAGTTTGAGAATGTGTCCTACGGAATCGAGCCCCTGGAGTCTACAGCTTCATCTCAACATATTGTTTATAAACTAGGGAACGAGGAGAAGGAATTGATATTTAGCAAAAACAGCAGAAATGTAGAGATGCCAACGAACTACGGCATTTTAATCAACAAAAAGGTGCATGTTGTGCATTTCATTACTTCCAAGGCACTTATAAGTTCTAATTCACTTAAAAAAGTATGATGTGGTGAGACCATTTCTTATGGCTTTGTTAAATTAATGCAGGACAGAGAGGACACAGAGGTGCACACTGTACTACCATGTACTCTTGTACAAGTGTGGTTATTTATGTTATCATGGCCTGGGTCACAACCCCACTTCTCCTTCAGACCTATACTTACAAAGAACAACTGTGTCTTTCTTTGGGGTGTGCCCTGAATAATCTTATCTAGGCATGCCTGACAGTTCTGTTGGGGCATCTCAATAATATGGTGGAAAAGAATTGATGTCTCCCTCTGACCTTCACGACAAGGAACATACTCTGTCTTTCCAGGTCTGAGTCTTGGGAGAAGGAGATGTGCTATGTTTACCCAGTGTATGAAGTGTCCCCTCCTAACCTCTTCGGACTGATTTTGGTTTGTCAGCTATTAGGATAGCCATGCCTATGTGTTTCTTAGTTCCATTTGCATGAAATATATTTTTTTCTATCCTTTTTACCTTAAGGTGATATCTTAGAAGCAAAAAGATAGATCCTGTTTTCTAATCCGATCTATTAGTCTGTGTCTTTTTTATTGGGGGAATGGAGACCGTTAACATTTAGAATTATTCCTGAAGGGGTGGATTAATTACTGTCACTTGGTTGATGGTTTTAAGTGGGGGGTAGTTCCTGGGATTGTGTGATGCTCCTTGGCAAGCAACCACAGGGCTTTGGGATAACCTGAATTGTAGAAGGCTGGGAATGTGGAAGCAGGTAGCGACATCAATCCAGGGGCCATGTGGGAGCAGCTGGAGAGTCCCTGTGTGAAAAGGGGTTATGATACGGCCGGTACAAAAGGGAAGGAAAGGGCCAGAGTTCTTGTGTTTTGAGACTTGCTGTGTTTGGGTGTATCCATAATGTTTACTCAGGTTACTTGTGGCACCTTCTTGGATTTCATGCTTGTTTGCACAGAGCTCCAAGGTTTGCTAGGGCAGAAAACTTAGCAGCATTTTGAGGAATTTTCTAGCTTGTGTTGGCTAGTTTTGGGCCCATGTGTGACCTTCTAGATTTTCTAGTATGGATGCTTGAGACTTTTCAAAGCTTTTTTCCCCATTCTTATCGTAACACTCTCCTTATGTAACTCTTGTTCATGTTGTCCCACAGCCCGCCTTCTGTCTCTTGCTCACGACAGCAGCTGCTGTATTTACTTTGGGATGTTTTTACAAATGTCTTCCACAAAGTCTACTCCATGAAAGTTCCAATAAGGAGGAATGGAATAGCTCTTTGTGCAAGCCCTTTGGGAAGGTGGGGGGGGGGAGGGGCATAGCTGTAATTCACTGAGAACAATTTGGCATTGCCATCCCTTGGTACCACTAAGCCACGCAGAGAACATGAACCACCACTCCCACTGATGCCAGTGAGCTGGGTTTCCATGGTGGGCTTTCACTGAAAGTTGGTAGCTGTTTTTGTTTCCTGTTTTTCACTAAAGCAATGGATTGCCTTATTCCCTAAAAGTATCTTCCTGTGTCTCTTGCTGTATGCTGGGCTGGCAGGCTATGCACAAGCTGGTACTCTAAGGGCACACGTGACAGCCAGAGGCAACCTGGGCTGAGCTGGCACCACAGTATTTCCCATTCAGTTACTGACCAGCAGCTCTGATGAGGAGCCAGGGGAAGCAGACTTGCCTCTTTCGAGATGTTACAGTCACATGCTACAGAAAGGAATGAAACACAACCCTAGTTTCTTGGTCTTCAACATCTTTACAATCTTGAAATTAGTTTAATCCATTCTGGCATTCAGATCAAATAGACGGTTGAAAAAAGCACATGGGTACTTCATTCCAATTTTAGTATAGGAGGAGTTGAGAAGTCAGAAGCTGTTGATTAATGGGTGACTGCATAATCAATGTTCTCCTTACTAAATTCCATGCTTTAACACCCAAGCACTATATAGCAGCTTGTCCAACTGTACGACCCCACTAGTGCTTGCCCTGAGTGTTCCCCTAATAGCTTTAACAAAGAATTCCAAGTAACTACATTATGAAAACTTAAATGTTTATGTGCTTTTGTTTCTTTCTAGCCAAAGTCACCTTTAAAAACCTCGTTTCCCCTCTATCTAGAGATGACTATTGTGGTGGACAAAGCTTTGGTATGTGTCTTTGCTTTTCATTTATATATTTGGTGTGGGACTGGAGAGTTGACTTCAAGTCAACTTAGCAATTAAGAACACTTACTTGCTCCTCTCCCAGAGGTCCCAGGTTCGAGTTCCAGCATCTGTGTGATGACTCGCCACCCTCTGTAACTGTAGTTCCAGAGGATCCAGTGCCTTCTTCCGACCTCTGAGGGCACAAGGCATGCATATGGTGTATAAGCATCCATGCAGGCAAAACACTAAGATACAGTAAAATTAATAATAATAATGATAGCAATCATCTAAAAACATTTTAAAAGAGTTTCAAAATGTTGACACACTTTGGTGTCCTTTTTAAATATTCTGTGTGAATATGTGATGGCCCAGGTTAGAGGGAACTGGAACATTCCCGTCTTCTCACTTCCCGTCAGAGATAGTGCAGTATCAACAGTTTGCTAACTGAAAACCGAATAGTCAAGATCACCTTATTAAGAGACAATTCCTGCAAGCCTGAAGTCCTATAATGTTTGACTGGCAGCAGTGGCTGGCACACCTGCGTGTGCTGCAGTAAAACACAGAAGTGGTGCTGCTCTTCCCCCACTCTGTTGTTTCCTAATAGGAAGCTGTCTCTAGATTCTTGACTCCTGTCTTAGTTAGGGTGTTACTGCTGTGAACAGACACCATGACCAAGGCAAACTCTTCTAAGGACAACATTTAATTGGGGCCGGCTTACAGGTTCAGAGGTTCAGTCCATTATCGTCAAGGTGGGAGCATGGCAGCATCCAGGCAGCCGTGGTGCAGGAGGAGCTGAGAGTTCTACATCTTCATCAGAAGGCTGCTAGCAGAATACTGACTTCCAGGCAGCTAGAGTGAGGGTCTTAAAGCCACACCCACAGTGACACACCTACTCCAACAGAACCACACATCCTAATAGTGCCACTCCCTGGGCCAAGCATATTCAACTCCCATAAACAAAAAATTATATGGCTTTTAGGATATATGTATTTTCCAGGTTTTGGTCTGATGGTCCATTTTTGATTATCACGCTGTGGAATATCACAGAGAATACAGAAAATACATGTTAGCAGTTCCAGTCTTAACATGGTAGATCTTGCTAGGAATCCAGAATTGAAGCAGAGGTAAGAAGATTTGAGGGAGAACAGATTAATAGTTGATTTATTAGACTTCTGGGAAAGGCCAGAGGATGTGTTTAAAATCATGGGACCTACAAGATGTCATTTGGGTCAATCCATAGTCAACATGTATGTGTGTGTATGTGTTTTTGTGAATGTGAGTGTATGTGTACAAATATGTTCTGTAATAGTATCCCATTGAGAATTGTGTATCCTATTTGAAATACTGAATTCTATATCATCATCAAACTTCAGATAGTAGATATAAGTACTCAAACCATCATACAAAAATAGTATTTTAAATTATTAAATTTAATTAATTTATACAATTAATTTATTTAATTAATTTATAAAATTATTTCTGTCTTTTAGTATGATTACTTGGGCTCTGACAGCATGATTGTAACAAATAAAATCATTGAAATTATCAATCTTATAAATTCAGTAAGTATTTCCCTTTTTATACCAGAATTTTTTTTTCATTTTGAAATGATCTTTCGTACTAACTTGATGTGACATTTCTGAATAATTAAGCCATGCATATAAACAGAGTATGGATTTGTGAAAAATTCAAGATATTTTCTGGCCTAGGGCATTATAAAATTAGAGAGATTAACTGTGTATATTGGTTTCTTCTGTTCTAGGTGTTTGCCCAACTCAAGGTTACTGTTGTGTTGTCCTCATTGGAGTTGTGGTCAGATAAGAATAAGATTCCGACAGTTGGTGAAGCAGATGAATTATTGCGTAGCTTTTTAGAATGGAAGCAGTCCTATCTTACCCTAAGACCTCATGATGTTGCGTATCTGTTCATGTAAGAATGTTTGATACTGTATAAAGAAAACCAAAAATGCGTGCTAGAGCTTAATCCAGGGAGCTGTTATTCATTTCTGATCATGTACGTGCTTTATTTGTGCTTTCCAACTGTCAGGCGGCAAAAAGGTGTGAATGACATTTGTTTCTAAGCGTATTATTCTTTCATTATACAATGGACTGAAATTTACAGAGCTCCATCCATTTTCTGACTCTCGAGAGCCTGTGCGATGTCACAGCAGAGTCCGATGTTTCTTTAACCCTGAGACAGAGTCAGGATTCATCCAGTAAAGTTTATATGTTGATTATACGGTTGGCCAGTGTGAAGTTGTTCACGAGTATTTATCTGAATCGATATTCTCTATTATTTTTAAAACGTATAAAGATGATAAATGGCAGCTATATATAAGAATTGCTAGCAATATACCACGGATGTCTTCATATGTAAGTATTTATCTCCAAATATATGCAACTCAACTAATTTTGATATAATATAAAGAGGGATACAATCTGATTTTCTGTCATATAGATAGACCAGCACTGTGTCACAATTTGCTCTGTAAACAGCCTTGTATAGAGTTCCTACATGGCTTTAAGTAATTTAATTGATTCATTTGGAAGGACTGATATATGTTCAGTGTCATGTACATTTTTATTATGTAGAACATTCCATTCAATGAGTATGGCTACATCTCTCCATTTTTCAAATAATTCTTCTAGTCTCCTGAAAAACTTTTATGTTTTTTTTTTTTTTTTTTTTTTTTTACTGGAGTTCTTCCATAACTCTGGTATTTATTGCTAGGTCTATTAATTTTTGCTAATGTTAATATTTTAATGCTCTAATGTATGTTGTAGATATACAGAAATGCAGTTAATGTCTATATGTACTGCCTTTGTTATTGCTGGGAAGAGACACTATGATCCAGGCAATCCATACAAATGAAAGCATTTAATTGGGTCTGGCTTACAATTTTAGAGGTTCAGTCCATCATTGGGGGGAAGTTTGGAAGAATCCAGGCAGACTGGAGAAGTAGCTGAGAGCTACACCGTGACCTGCAGGCCACAAAGGGGATGGAGAGACAGAGAGACAGAGACAGATAGAGACAGAGAGAGACAGAGACAGAGAGAGACAGAGAGAGAGACAAAGAGAGAGACAGAGAGAGACAGAGAGAGACAGAGAGAGACAGAGACAGAGAGAATGAGACTGGACCTGGCTTGAGTTTTGGAAACCTCGAAGCCCACCTGCGATGACACACTTCCTCCAACAAGACAACACCTCCTAATCCTTATAATCTCTTCAATAGTTCCACTCCCTGGTGACTAAACATTCAAATATATGAGTTGACGAGGGGCCATTCTCATTGAAACCACCACAAGTATGAGATTATTACTGTTTTTTGTTATTGGCTTTTTGAAAGATTTTTGAAATTATAATTACCTAAATTCATTTTTTTACATGCACAGATTTTACTTTTCTCCTCCTCCTCCTCCTCCTCCTCCTCTTTTTCCTCCTCTTCCTCTTTTTCCTCCTCCTCCACTTTTTCCTCCTCCTCCTCCTCCTCCTCTTCCTCCTCCTCCTCCTTTTTTTTTTTTTTTCACAAGTTTTCACCTTACAGATACAGGCATAGAGGATGATTTCCAGGTACTCCCTCACCGTACCTCTTCAGTTCCATTACTGTTGTTAACATTTCGTGTTGGGTGGTACTTTTTATAATTTTTGAAACAATAGTGATTCATTATTAACTGAAGTGCATGGCTTACATTATGGATTGTCCTCTGTGTTGATTGAACTCATTATTAATAATTAGTAACTCATTATTAATAATTAGTTAATAATAAGATGTCCTAATTCTTTCACACTGATTTATTGACTTATGTGTACATGTGTGTATGTGTACATGTGTGTATGTGTACGTGTATGCCACAGGGTGCATGAGAAGGACAGTGGTTAATTTTCAGAAGTCGTTTCTTTCCTTCTGTCATGTAGATTCCTGGGAGCTCAGGTGGTCATGTATGAAGCAAGTGACTTTATCCACTGAGCCATCTCATGGTCCTTGTGTTTTCTGATTTTTTTTTTTTTTTGGATATAAAATCGTGTCATTTGGGTGCTACAAGTTTTACTTCTTTTAATGAGCTTACTCTGTCCTAAGATTGTAATGAGCAAAAATCAAAGTAATCTTATGTTATTCTTGATCCAAAAGTAAAAGACTTGACTTCCTAAGATTAGAAACCATATTCACGATGAAGTTAGTGTAAAAGCCATTTAGCCTTCCATTTTAAAAGTAAGTTTTAAAAATCATGACTACATGTCAACTTTTACCAAATGGCTTTTCTTTGGGATCTTTCAATGATTTTTTGATTTCCAGACTACTGATGGTATCTTGGGTGGCCAGGTTGGGTTTGTTAATGTTTGCTTGCGACTTTTTGTTTTCTGCATGTACATTTTTTTCAAACATTTATCTTTGTTTTTAAAATGATGGAACTTTTCAACTAGCATTTACTTTTTTTTTGTTTTCTAGGTAGTATTTTTTTTTGAGTTCATAATTTTCAGATTATCTTTATAATCATAACTAGCTAGTTAAAGCAAAACATCATTGAGGATAATTTATCTGTTTCTCAGTGATAGTGTCTGGAATTTGGCTATAAATAATGGGTTAATCACAGTCATGTTTCATAGTAGGCTCTCGCTTTGCATACGACCTCTTAAGATATGTGTTTATGACAAATCTATGAACTATCTACTTTTACTAAAGACTTCAGAGTCCCCTCCTCTAACCATGTGCCCTACACTCTCTCTTCAACTGTCCTCCTACAGGGAGGGAAGTAATTTCATTCTGAATTCCCCCAGGGCAGCAGCTTTCCTTCCTCACTCTGTCTTCATCCCCCATCTGTTATTAGACCCCAATATGGCCCATCTTGCTAGCCAGATTGTTTATGGGGTGCCCTACCTTTGCATTCCATGAGTTGGAGTTAGAGGCTGGCCATCATGCTCTCTGGCATTTATGTGGAGACTAAATTTTATCCTCTCTCTTTGAGTCTGAGAGCTTCTATCCTTTTCCTTCTTCTTAGACCTGTAGATCATAGCAGCTGCCCAGGTGTTCTATCTTCTAGGATTTAGTGTTCTGTGGTAACTTCTGAGTGCTAAGATATTCTAGTCTTGTTTTCTCTGCTCTTCTCAGTGACCCTGTCAATTATTTTCTTTTGTGGTTCTAGGTCTATCCATTTGTATGGTGCTCTTGCTTCTTAGTTTCATTTAGTTCTACTCTGTTTTTGTTTGTTTGTTTGTTTGTTTGTTATTTATTTCCTTCTGCTAAGTCTGGGTTTCATTATTTTTTCTAGTTCTTTGAAGTACAATGTTAGGCGATTGTTCGGAGATTTTTAAATTTTATTTTATGTGCCTGTAACTACCCTGCTTTTTATTCCATTTACATAGAATGCCTTATAGCGCTCCTTTGTTTTCAGTCTGTATTCCTGGAGGTAAAGTGAGATTCTTATGAGTATCATAGAGTTGGGTGCTGTATTTTAATCCAGTCAATCACTGACTTAATTTTGAGAATTTGATCCATTTACATTTAAAGCAATTGCCAGTGAATAAAGCCTAACTTTGTGAGTAAGTAGTTTTTCTCTAATTATGTGCTGCTGTGATCCCTTGCTTACCTTTTCAGTTTGTATGTTAAACATTTTTGCTTTGTGGTTACCGTAATGCCTTTAAAGTTCATCTTTTGGTTATAGCAAGCAGTTTTGAAATAACGGCTATTTAGCATCGAGGAAAAAGTAGAAGAATAACAGGAAAATAGAGAAAACTCCTTGGCACTTGCACTATTTCTCACCCATTTCTAACCTTTAATTCCCCCTTTACTCTTCCCAAGTTGTCTAGCTCTTGATATATTATACTCTTCAAGTTGTGTGTGACAGGTTTACGTTCCGTGTTTATGGTAGCATAGAACTTTGAATTAACTGGATGCTTACTTTTTTTATATTGATTATTTTATTTATTTACATTTCAAATGTTGTCTCCTTTCCCAGTCTCCTCTCTGCAAACCTCCTCCCCCTCTCCCTCCCCTTTGCCTCTAAGAGGATACTCCCCACCCTTCCGACTCCTGCTTCACCCCTCTAGCATTCCCCTTAGCTGAGGCAACAAGCCGCCACAGGATCAAGGGCCTCCCCTCCCACTGATGGCAGATAAGGCAATCTTCTGCTACATATGTAGTGGGAGCCATGTGTGCGGGGCGCACGTGAAGTGGTCTCGCCGGCAAAAAACATACACACACGCGCGCACACACACACATCACACACACGCCAGAATCCTTCCGTATGAACACGTTTATTTCCCCAAAACCAAGATGGTGGAAGAAGACGAGAAGGCGTGGGAAAGCACTGCCTATATACCCCAGAGCGGGGTATTCACCCCCTGATTGGCTGCTTACTCGTAGCGCGCCAAACGCCGTGGGATGGGCTTAGTTTTGGCGGGCTTACCATGGCACATGCGCAGTTTACTTGGTACTAGGAAGAATTACGGGCGACAGCGCCACCTAGCGATGGCGGACTTTGTCAGCTCTCGTGGCGGCTCCCAACAGCCATGGGTCCACCCATGTGTACTCTTTGGTTGGTTGTTTAGTCCCTGGGGGCTCCGAGGGGTCTGGTTAGTTAATATTGTTGTTCTTCCTATAGGGTTGTAGTTCCTGTCAGCTCCTTCAGTCCTTCCCTATCTCTTTTACTGAGGTCCCTGGGCTCAGTCCAATGGTTGGCTGTGAATGTCTGCATCTGTTTTAATCAGGTGCTGGCAGAGCCTCTCAGAGGACAGCCCTGCTGGACTCTTGTCTGCAAGTAGTTCTTGGCATCAGCAATAGTGTCTGTGGATGAGATGGATCTCAAGGTGGGGCAGTTTCTGGATGGTTTCTCCTTCAGTCTCTGCTCCATTTTTTTTTTTGGGGGGGGGTCCCTGCGTTTCCTTTAGATAGGAACAATTCTGTGTTAAAATATTTGAGATGGGTGTGTGAC